GGGGGGGTCCCCCCGGGGGGGCTCTGGGGCATTGTGGGTTGATCGGTCGTGCCGATCTTGGTTTGTTCTCGGGTCGATCTCGGGTCGATTTCGGGTTGATCTCGGGTCGATCTCGGGTGGATCTCGGGTCGATCTCGGGTTGATCTGGGGTCGATCTCGGGTCTCGGGTCGGTCTTGGGTCGGTCTCGGAGTGGTCTAGAAAAGAAAAGATGAGGCGAGTTGTGGCGAGGTGAGGCGAGTTGAGGCGAGAGATGAGGCGAGATGAGGCGTGATGAGGCGAGATGAGGCGAGATGAGGCGAGGTGTGGAGAGTTGAGGCGAGGTGAGGCGAGATGAATCGAGGTGAGGCGAGATGAGGCGAGGTGTGTCGTGTGAGGGGAGGTGAGTCGAGGTGTGAGCAGTGTGGCGAGATGAGGCGAGGTGTCAGGTGAGAGGCGAGAGAGGTGAGGCGAGAGGTGAGGCGAGATGAGGCGAGGTGAGGCGAGATGAAGCGAGGTGAGGCGAGATGAAGCGAGGTGAGGCGAGTCGAGGCGAGATGTGGCGAGACTAGGAGGCGAGAGATGAAGCGGGATGTTGTGTGGCTGCTTGTGCTGCCAAGCAGGCAGCACAAGCAGCCATACAAGTGAGCTTTTGGGTTGTGTGGCTGCTTGTGCTGCCTGCTCATGAGCAGGCATCACAAGCAGCCACACAAGTCAGCTTTGGGAGCTCTCGGCGACGCCCAATGCGTGCGCCGGTAGGGGGGAGTGTGTGCGCGCGTGTGTGAGATGTGGATTGTGGCAGGCCTGCTGCTGCTGATGGGAGGTGTGCTCTGTGTGTGGCGCTGCGCTGGCGTGCGACGCGCGCGTGCTGTGTACGTGTGCGTGTTGCTGTCGCGCGTGCGTCTGCGTGTGCTGCGCGCGCGCCGCCGGTGTGCGCTGTGTGCTGTACTCTGTTGTGCGCCCTGTTTGTGCAGCTGGGAGGCGCAGGCTTGGCTGGCAGGGCTGCGCGGTGGGCTGCGGCGCGCTGCGGGTGGTTGTGCGCCTGCCTGATGGTGTGCGGCGGCCGCGCAGCCCGCCCGACCGGGTCGTCGGCGGCCCAGGGCGCGAGCATGCGGTCGGCGCTGCATGTGAGGCTGTGTGCGCGGCTGGCGCGTATGTTTCCGTGCGATGAGGGACGCGCGTATGTGTTCACGCTGCGGGCGCGGGCGGGCGTGGAGGGCGGCGCGGTCTCACCGCGGTCCGACGCCCGTTGGTCTTCTGCGTGACGAGGGCGGGCACGCAAGAGGCCTTGCCGCCATCGCGTTGCCGCGAAGGAAAAAGAACGCTGCGGCTAGTGCTCAAAACCTCGGGAAAGAAGGCCTACATATTATGAGTGAATCCATGCACCTGGTGCATGGGAACTGTGGAATAGGACATTTCAGTGGATAGTTGGATCTCAGATATGAGGTATTTTTATCTCGCCGCGTCTGTGTCGTACTACAATATTGCAAGAATAGCCGCCAATATTGCCATAGCTGCCCTGATGCGTTCCTCTAGTTTGGTCAGATATCCCCACTCCCGTACACCGAGCCAGCGCAACCGGTACGTGGGTACAGCCTGATACGCGACATGCAGTCTCATCATACTGCAATACTGCATGAGATACCTCCCCTTACTGCTGTACCTCACATGCACACCATATCCCAATACGGCGAAGTAATCATACTTGGATACTGCATCACAGCTCCATCCGTACTGCTGTACTGGGGCATACTGGAGAATACTGGAGAATACTGCTCCATACTGGTGCATGTGCAGTGCTGCGGCGGGATCTACCACTCGGCTGCCAGACTCACTAGAGCACCCGGAGCCAGAACTCACACTCCCAGGTTGCAACTGCTAGCAGCGGCGCTCGGCGGCGCACCTGGCCTTGCAAGGGCTAGCTAGCTTAATGCCGGCCGCATACTGCAACTGCTGCTGGGCGGTCCTTGCTCAATGGATTGATCCAGCGCTCGTCGATGGGCAGTCCTAAAGAGGCAACGAGGCATCCTGAAGAGGCCGGCCTATCCTGCAGCGGCATCACAAACAGGTTGTGGTTGCAGGTGCGCGCGCGCCCACGCACACGCAGAGCCACCACGCCGCCTCTTCCCACTCCCACTGATGCGAGTTTGACTGTGGCGAGGTGTGACTCATGAGATGTGACTCTCGTGGGTGGTGGCGGAACACGGCGATCGAGCAGGGGTGCTAGGACGGGACGCACCAGACGGGATGAACCAATGGATTGTGTCCACCGTCCCCAGAATGCGCAGTCCGCAACCGTCGTACTTGTGGCTGAGCTCGTCGCAACGCGGAGGGAGGAGAGGCCTTTGTGGATTTGTGCCCCGATGATCCACAGCACGGCGATCGCTCTGTCGCCAAGCCCCACGGAACGCGCACTAGTGCAAGTCGCGCCGCACCCCAAGTGCCCGACCGCGCCTGGAAAAAGAAAAGAAAGCGTTTGCGTGACTGAATCAGAAAACGGGGGGCTGGCGCTGCACCAGGCCAATGGCTTGGGACGCAAGCGCAATCTGCGCCACAACACATCGCACAAGCGAGAGAGAGAGACACAAGCGCAATCTGCGCCACAACACATCGCACACGCAAGCAGATGACCACACAATCCGCTTGTCGTCGCTTCTGGTAACGTTTAGTTATTTCACGATCAATCTTACGCGTTGGACCACCGTAGCTCCAAAGTCGCAATCGTTGGCGTTGGAATGGGACGGCTCGAGCAAATGCATCAATCCCGCAGTGCCGAAGGTAGTGGTAACAGGATGTTGTACGGGGGTGCGCACGGCAAGAGTTCTCACGAATGCTGGTGCCGGCTGTATTTGGCGCTGCGTGTCAGCACAGGAGTATGTCTGGCCAGGCAAGCTGAATGTGGACATCTCGTCCCCGTTCCTAAATGAATGAAGAGACCAAACTTTGGAGCCGCTCTTGTCCTGGGCAACGTCCTGTCGCGTTTGCCAGTCTGCGGTCGCGCTATCTACCAGCCTCGTTCGTTGCACCAAGACGGCAGCCGTGCGCACGAGGTATGTGCGTGAGTCGTTTTTGTGTGTGCGGTTCGGGAAACATGCGATTCAATGCGCAGTGGCGCGTCGCCTTTGCTGGAGAGTCGACGGCGGCCTCTCGAGTGGCAAGTCCTCAACATGAAAAAACAAAAGAAGGAGGAGCAGAGTCTTCAATACCTAAATTTGGGGGGACGCACGAATATGAGGTTTGTGCGACACATGCATTCGGTCGGCATGCTCGCCCTCGTGGCGGGCATGCCCCTGACCTACACCGTGCGGGACTGTGGCACCAGGCGCGGTACACTGTATGACACTGGCTTCCTTCCAAGCACGTTGCAGACGGCTTGGGACAAATACAGCGGCGCGGTCGGCAACGTCCTGCCGCCCACCAGAAGCGACCACAAGCGGATTGTGTGGTCATCTGCTTGCGTGTGCGATGTGTTGTGGCGCAGATTGCGCTTGTGCGATGTGTTGTGGCGCAGATTGCGCTTGCGTCCCAAGCCATTGGCCTGGTGCAGCGCCAGCCCCCCGTTTTCTGATTCAGTCGCGCAGGCGCGGTCTTTTCTTTTTCCAGGCGCGGTCGGGCACTTGGGGTGCGGCGCGACTTGCACTAGTGCGCGTTCCGTGGGGCTTGGCGACAGAGCGATCGCCGTGCTGTGGATCATCGGGGCACAAATCCACAAAGGCCTCTCCTCCCTCCGCGTTGCGACGAGCTCAGCCACAAGTACGACGGTTGCGGACTGCGCATTCTGGGGACGGTGGACACAATCCATTGGTTCATCCCGTCTGGTGCGTCCCGTCCTAGCACCCCTGCTCGATCGCCGTGTTCCGCCACCACCCACGAGAGTCACATCTCATGAGTCACACCTCGCCACAGTCAAACTCGCATCAGTGGGAGTGGGAAGAGGCGGCGTGGTGGCTCTGCGTGTGCGTGGGCGCGCGCGCACCTGCAACCACAACCTGTTTGTGATGCCGCTGCAGGATAGGCCGGCCTCTTCAGGATGCCTCGTTGCCTCTTTAGGACTGCCCATCGACGAGCGCTGGATCAATCCATTGAGCAAGGACCGCCCAGCAGCAGTTGCAGTATGCGGCCGGCATTAAGCTAGCTAGCCCTTGCAAGGCCAGGTGCGCCGCCGAGCGCCGCTGCTAGCAGTTGCAACCTGGGAGTGTGAGTTCTGGCTCCGGGTGCTCTAGTGAGTCTGGCAGCCGAGTGGTAGATCCCGCCGCAGCACTGCACATGCACCAGTATGGAGCAGTATTCTCCAGTATTCTCCAGTATGCCCCAGTACAGCAGTACGGATGGAGCTGTGATGCAGTATCCAAGTATGATTACTTCGCCGTATTGGGATATGGTGTGCATGTGAGGTACAGCAGTAAGGGGAGGTATCTCATGCAGTATTGCAGTATGATGAGACTGCATGTCGCGTATCAGGCTGTACCCACGTACCGGTTGCGCTGGCTCGGTGTACGGGAGTGGGGATATCTGACCAAACTAGAGGAACGCATCAGGGCAGCTATGGCAATATTGGCGGCTATTCTTGCAATATTGTAGTACGACACAGACGCGGCGAGATAAAAATACCTCATATCTGAGATCCAACTATCCACTGAAATGTCCTATTCCACAGTTCCCATGCACCAGGTGCATGGATTCACTCATAATATGTAGGCCTTCTTTCCCGAGGTTTTGAGCACTAGCCGCAGCGTTCTTTTTCCTTCGCGGCAACGCGATGGCGGCAAGGCCTCTTGCGTGCCCGCCCTCGTCACGCAGAAGACCAACGGGCGTCGGACCGCGGTGAGACCGCGCCGCCCTCCACGCCCGCCCGCGCCCGCAGCGTGAACACATACGCGCGTCCCTCATCGCACGGAAACATACGCGCCAGCCGCGCACACAGCCTCACATGCAGCGCCGACCGCATGCTCGCGCCCTGGGCCGCCGACGACCCGGTCGGGCGGGCTGCGCGGCCGCCGCACACCATCAGGCAGGCGCACAACCACCCGCAGCGCGCCGCAGCCCACCGCGCAGCCCTGCCAGCCAAGCCTGCGCCTCCCAGCTGCACAAACAGGGCGCACAACAGAGTACAGCACACAGCGCACACCGGCGGCGCGCGCGCAGCACACGCAGACGCACGCGCGACAGCAACACGCACACGTACACAGCACGCGCGCGTCGCACGCCAGCGCAGCGCCACACACAGAGCACACCTCCCATCAGCAGCAGCAGGCCTGCCACAATCCACATCTCACACACGCGCGCACACACTCCCCCCTACCGGCGCACGCATTGGGCGTCGCCGAGAGCTCCCAAAGCTGAGCTGGGTCGCTGCTTGCGACGCCTGCTCACGAGCAGGCAGCACAAGCAGCCACACAACCCAAAAGCTCACTTGTATGGCTGCTTGTGCTGCCTGCTTGGCAGCACAAGCAGCCACACAACATCCCGCTTCATCTCTCGCCTCCTAGTCTCGCCACATCTCGCCTCGTCTCGCCTCACCTCGCTTCATCTCGCCTCACCTCGCTTCATCTCGCCTCACCTCGCCTCATCTCGCCTCACCTCTCGCCTCACCTCTCTCGCCTCTCACCTGACACCTCGCCTCATCTCGCCTCACTGCTCACACCTCGCCTCACCTCCCCTCACACGACACACCTCGCCTCATCTCGCCTCACCTCGCTTCATCTCGCCTCACCTCGCCTCATCTCGCCTCACCTCGCCTCATCTCGCCTCATCTCGCCTCATCTCGCCTCATCTCGCCTCATCTCTCGCCTCACCTCGCCTCACCTCGCCTCATCTCGCCTCATTTTTTCTTTTCTAGACCACTCCGAGACCGACCCAAGACCGACCCGAGACCCGAGATCGACCCGAGATCGACCCGAGATCGACCCGAGATCGACCCGAGATCGACCCGAGATCGACCCGAGATCGACCCGAGATCGACCCGAGATCGACCCGAGATCGGCACGAGCGATCAACCCAACAATGCCCCAGAGCCCCCTCCGGGGGGACCCCCCCTCACCCCGAGTGTCCGTGTCCTTCGCGAGTCACCGATGGGGAGCGGGGGGGGGTGCGAGATGCACAGGGGAGGCTGGGGAGGGGGGGGTCCACTCTGAAGACTGCCGACCGCGGGGGGGTTTTGTCCCACAGGGTTTTACCCTCCGCGTGAGGATCGGCGCGGCGAGGGGGTAGGTTCGAATTCGCCGCGCAACATTTCACCCCCACAGGACCCCGCCCCCCCCCCCTCATGGTCCCACCTAGCACTCCAATGAGCCTTCGCACCCCCTCCTTGCGCAGTGTCCCCCACTATGTGTCGCCGTTATCGGGGCACGCTATCCTGTGCAGTCAGGGCAAGTGGGGGCGGGGGGCAGTCCCTCTGGTCCGATACTGGTGTGGTTCTGTCTCTAGTCTCGGAGGGGGGCTTGAAGCTAAGAATATTTTATTTTTTTTTGAGCACTAGCCGCAAAAGGGCTTTTTGGCACTTCATCGCGACACATCCAGGTGCCGACAAAGCGGCTTCCCAGCTCACCACCTCGCCATCTCTGTCGCTCTCCTGGCCCAGGCCCATCAGTATCAAGTCTGAGCTGTCGCAGACCGCACTCATCTTGGATGATGAAGCCCACTCTGGCTCATACCACGGCTCTTACGGCCTCACACACGCCCGTTTTACCCACAGACACCGCCGGCACGCACTCCCACTTCACACATGCTCAAACACAACCCCACCAAAGCACAGCCCTGATCAGAATGGGCAAGGGCTACCACTTGGTGACCCTGGTAGCCTCTGGCTCGCCACTGCACTCGGCTCCTCTGCAGCGGTCTCGCGCCCTCGCCACGACAGCACGCCGACGGCAAGCTTTGAGGTCCGTCTGGTGGACCTGCTGTGGCCACAGCCTCCCCTCGCATGCAGCTCGCACCAGACCTCGACACTGGGCTCGCTCAGCTTGGTTGTGGCAGCGTGTGTGAAGGATGCGCGGCCAAGCCGCTGGCGCTGCTACAGCGGCGCGAGAAGCAGGCAGCGGCGCGACACCCGGTCGGTCGAGTCTGGCCGTTCTCGCGACGCCGGCCGGCGAGGGTGGCGGCCTGTGGCCGGCTGGTGGGCGGAGAGCAGCGACAACCGGCGTGGGGGTGCTCAGGAGGCAGCGGCGGCCAAGTGTGCACACTTGCTCAAAGCCGAAAGGGGGCTTGTAGTGGTTTCTTTGCCAAGCCAGAAGAATTCTTAAACGCGCGGGACCGAGGACTAAGCAAGTGTCTGTGTTTGGGCGTGGTGTCCAGTGTAATGTCCACTAGCTCCGAGTAGAGGGGGCGTCCTGCAGTTAAGGGGAAACCCGGTACGCGGGTCCAACCCTCGGAGAACTGTGTTTACTTTAAGGCCCTTGCCCTGCGAACGCGCACCCCCGGGGCTAGGGCTCTCTTGCCCGCAACCCGACACCGATCATCCGGCCCGCTGGGTGCGCTTCTGAGCTCCTCGGCCCTGGATGTGAGGTTACTGATTGCACTCCAAGTGCTCCAAGTGCGGAGGATGCAGAGGCGGATAGGGGTGGTCCGATTTTGATACATTGAAAGAATTAAGCTTTGCGCGGAAGGGTGAAAGGAGAAAGCATGGAGATAGTGCGGGTTTTGTGATCTCGGCATTACGCACGCGCTCACTTGCGAAGAGCATTCGCGGCCAAAAGAAACCGACCTCCCATACGTGCTAGTGCTCCTCCTTCGCTGTCCCATCTCCTCATCCCTTTCCCAC